CCTTCTGTGGCTGCAGAAGCCAGTGGCCTGCTTGCTGCCTGTCGTGTCTGCTTGTGTGCATGGAGACCACAGTTTAGTCAGGCTGTCGTCGCTGCAGTGCACTCGTAACTTGCCTCCACCTCAGCTTTGCATGAGTGTCACACAGCTTCCTGTTGTTTCTTTTCTATTTCAGACTGAAGTTATCTGAAAAATCTCCGTTTGCCCACGTGATTTGTTTCCAATGTTATATGTTCCTCTGTGTGAATGTTACATTTATTTTTAGTGCGCTTGATTGCAAAATTGTCTTGAACTTTACGAAGATAAGACGTTTCATACTTTAAGTTTAAGTTTCAAACAGGGCTCTCTTGTAAATGAGCCCTGAAGGCACAATGAGACTAACCTGTATAAATAAAGTTTGAATGAATACTAATAACTAATGGGCACACCCTCAAAGAGAGAAGTGATAAACATCAAAAATGTGACAACGTGTTAAAAGGACTCTCCTTGAGTCAGCAGGATTACATCAATAAATTGTCATTCTGTATCTGACCTGTGATTGTGAAGGAAGTAGATTTTGTTTCTGTGACAAACAAAAAACACGCCTGAGCTTTCCAACAAGCATCTCTGTGTGATATTTACCGTACTTACTGCCGTACACATCGCACCGCCGTGTAAATTGCATCAGTCCAAATATGTCTAAGGTGAAAAAAAAACATAAATACGTTGTTTCGCCGTATATGTCACATCTATTATGCGTCACCGCTGACAACCTGGAAACATGGGCCGGTGTTCAGCCAAAAATCAATTGGCTGCCAAATGGTGGCCGCAAGGGCGTGCACGGAAGGACTTTAACAAGAATTTAACAAGATGAACACTTAAAAACAATTATTATTTTGCTCGAAGTCATAGTAAAGGTGTGTCTCAGTTGAACTTTTCCTTAATAAATGCACTTTGACGGTCAAATCAGCTGCATTTCAAAAATTGATTCGCAGCTGCGGGAACGCGCAGAGGGACGACTCGCTGTGCATTTCTTCGAAATTTACCAAGATAACCACCTAAAAACGTTTACTATAAAGTCAAGCAAATAAATAAAGGTTTGTCTCAGTTTAACTTTTCCTTAATAAATGCATTTTAATGGTAAAATCAGCTGCATTTCGTCTGGGCGGAGCGGCAAAATGAAGCTGATTTGACGTTTGCTCCAGGAGTTCTGGAGCGAGACGAAGATGGCTTTGTATGGCAAGCCAAGTGTCTCATTAAAAGCCACTTTTGCCTATTAATGAGACACTTGGCTTGCCATATAACTCGAACGCCCTCTTGTGGCTGAAACTGGTAGTGTTCAATATTTTCCATGTCAGAATGAATGAAATCATCAGATCTCAGCCAAAAATTGCGTCATAAATATGGGGGAAAACATAAATAAGTAGCTTCGCTGTATCAGGCATGCTAATTTATGCAACAACCTGCGACTTATACAGCGAACCATACGGTAACTCTCTCATGGAGCCGCATGTTAATGTGGCTGCTGCACATTCCAAAAGCAACATCTGAATGTGTGACTGCCTCGGTAAGAGAACGGGTCACTCTGAATATGCAAAGCGCTTTAATCTGTACATCTGGACACTGCCAACATTATTTTATTCATTTGCATTAAAGGCTTATTCATGGTTATGGACAGACAGAATGGGTGACTGAACAAAGATAAATGGAAATTACTCAGAACATTGAAAGTAAGTCCAGCTGTACAGTCCCAGTAATGCTCTGTCCCTTCACCATGAGTAAATTCCTTGTGTCTAAATAATTCTCCAAAAGTTAAATTCACCTCATCTAGTGTCGGGGCTAATCTTGGAAAACTTCAGACAGACGCAAAAATGTGAAAATATTGTCATTTAAAAATCTGAGATGATGCCATAACAGAAGGGTTAAAAAATATTTTATATTGTTACCAAACGGTTGACTCTGCTCAACTTTACATTAGGACAGGTAAAATGAAGCATTGTTCTGCTGAGAAAAACTACCCTGGCACTTTGGTTGCTTTTGGAAACTTGCAACTCACCTGAACATCCACAACATGGCAACAGCATAAATATACCCCCCCCCCCCCCCCCCAGAAATATTTTGATAACTGTCCGTTGGCAGTTGCATCTGAAACACATGCCTTTTGTCGCCATCAACAAACTCCTGCTGTAAATCTACCTGGATATCTGACCACTCTTCTAAACGGAGAGTAGAGACTTTCTGCAGGGTTGAGGTTGGGGCTTTTGGAAGATGCTCCAGGTGCTTCATGTTAGCCTGATGATGCATTCATACAGAAACCAGTTTGATGTGCTTGGGATCACCGCCCAGTACCATAGCATGATACCATCACCACCATTCTTGGCAGTTGGTTAATTGTTTTTAGGTTTGGAAGTCTCACCATCGAGCACCTCATGTCATCGTGGTCAAATCCTTGTTTCATTTGTCCGTAAAGTGTTTCTCCAGAAAGGCTTGTTCACGCAGGCAGCTGCAAGTTTCAGTCGAGCTTTAAGTTGTGACTTTTGAAGCAAGCGCTTCTTCCTTGGTTGTCACGCTCAGTCCACAGAAAAGTTTAATTTGCCTCGCTGTGGACACGGACACTGGTGCTCCAGCAGTTTTCAGCTCGTGGCAGGTTTGAGCTGTGGTGGTTCCTGGGCTGTTCTTAAACATCCGAGCCAAGTTCCTTTTATTTGGGGCTGACAGCTTGTGTTTGTCCAGACCCTGGCAAAGTGGTGACACATCTGAATCATTTCTACTTACGCATAATTGTGTCTCATTTTGGGTGACTCTACAGTTCTCCTTCATAGATCTTCCCTTATAATTCTTTGGACTTCCACATTGGTCTGAGTGTAATCAATCATATAAGTGCTGCGAAAAGAAACTACCAGATTCAGCCAGTCATGATCACTGCAAGAAGAGACTTGGTTTGTCAAGTTCAGATATATTCTAGGTACCACTTACTGCACGTTTTAGGTGAACGTATGTAAATATTTGAACCTGCATGTATATATTTGACCGTGTGAGTTAGAGAAAATCCACAGCAAATTCAAATGTGTGCACGCGACGTCATATTGAGCTGTGCAAAAGACCCAAAAGGCAGAGCAGCTGAATGGGGACCTAAACAGATGTGAGGCAGAAAACAAACGTACAGATGAAAATTCACAGGAGCTCACAGCTGCAGACGTAAAATAGAACAAAGTGAGCGGCATGAACAGAAATGGAGCCAGCAGTCAGAGCTAACTTGTTTTTCCTGTACGCAGTGTTAGATTTTATCCTAAATAATTTTGTTTTGACATGAAGCAACAAATGCAACAAAATGATTACTGGCTTTTCTGCTTCCAGATGGTTCCATGGGAAAATAACTCGAGATCGGGCGGAGCAGCTGCTGCACCCCCCTGAGACCGGCCTGTTCTTGGTGCGGGAGAGCACCAATTTCCCCGGCGACTACACTCTGTGTGTGAGCTGCGACGGTAAGGTGGAGCACTACCGCATCATCTACCACAACGGCAAGCTCACCATCGATGAGGAGGTCTTTTTTGAGAACCTCATGCAGCTGGTCGAGGTGAGGCTACCAAATAAAACTGTTTTTTTTTAAATAGCACACAGTTTGATGCTATACTGAGAGCTGCTGCTGGAGGTTGGGTTTAGAGAGGCGACGTAACTGTACTACTTCAGGGACAATGTGTAGTTCCTGGAACATATGATGAACAGGAAGTGTCGAGGAGGAAGTGAATTGAAGCTGAGGTTCAGAGTGATAACTTTAAAAAGGTAGAGTCCGCGTACGGTCACACTGCCTCTTTTTTCCTGTGTGAACAGCTTGTTTAGAACTGTTGCTAATTATGTTTTCTACATGAGCCGGCCTGTGCAGTAATGTCGACATGACTGACTTTCACACATTTGTTTAGCTCTTTTGATTTCGAGCGTCCTTATTGGCTCCTGTCATGCACTTCTTTAGGACGTTGAATGGCTTATAAAATGTAGTGCTGGGATGTCTAAAACTTCCTTTTACTGCAGCCTTTTCAGCGTTTATTAAGTTCTTAAAGTTGTTTCTTTTCTTCTTTTTTTTTACCAACAAACAAAGAATATCAAATGCTGTTTGGGTTCACTATGAAGAAAAATGTTTTTTTAAAGCTAAAATAATAATTAATAAAACCAAACAAACAAACTAAAGCCAGCACTCTGTCTGGAAAAAAAAAATCATTGTTCCAATCTTACAAAAGATAATAATAAGCCATTATTCAGTTTACTATGTTTTTTTTTAATTGTTTAAAAGACGATGGCTATTTGAGACATATCAGGCAAATCAGGACACAAAAAAGTCAAACTTTACTTCATCAGTTCATACCGTTTTAAAATCTGGTCAAATTAATTTTGGATGAGCAACAAGATAATTACACTTTGTCACTGTTTATTTAACGAGACCTAAACTGAAGTGCTGAAAAGGGGTGCAACATTATGAATCTGATTTTACTGCTTTCATAGAAAGTAAGAGCAAGTCTAAAGCTTCTAATGATAAAAACTCAAGTAATATTACAGAAGCTAATTTTTCTGTCCATTCTCCTGGAGAACATTGTAAGTTCACAAGTTCACCCATCAGACTGGAATATTCAGGGAAACGTATTGACTTTCTGTCAGATACTACAGTTTTCTGACAGTACAATGAGAAAAAGTCTGAACAAATCTAATTTGTTTGAGAGGGTTAACTAGAAGAAGCGTCTTATTTCTAAAACAAAGTGTAACAGCACAGATTAGGGTTTTTTAAAGTTGCATTTGAACAAACCAAAACTGCCAGGTGTTCACAGCAAACCCTCACTACATGTTCAGGTCTACCAGTCCAGCATCTTCCCCCGAGCCAGCTTTGGTAAACCAGGGTCAGAGCACCAAGGCTCCTGCCTTCAGCTTCAACACATGGTGTGTTGGACCTGACTTGTGTGGACCCTCCTGCAGGTGGTGGTCCTACAGGAAGGCAAACCCAAGTTGACCATTTGGACTGAGCCCACCCAGGCCCCATGTGTATAGACCCAGTCACCAGGTGCTCACCAACTAGTCCCTCCCCCAGACCTGGCTCCAGTATGGGGCCCCGGTAACCCATGTCTGGACAAGGATTCTGAGCTCCTTGATTTTATCTGTCCATAAGAGTCTTTGGAACCACTCTTTTGTCCAGCCTGTCACCTAGGACCAGTCTGCCTTGTGAGACCCTACCATGGGCAAATGCCCCCGATAGCACAGCTCCTAAAATCATTCAGGGGCTCAAAGTCCTCAACCACGATAAGGTGGAGATTCAAGGAGGAGGCACAAACACACACTGGATGAAAACTAGCCTGAACACTTTAGTCCTTCTGTCAACTGAAGGTGTGAAGAACTGATGATTAGGTATTGTTCTGCAGCCACAAGACCTGGGCACCTTTCACTCATCAGATGAGGGTGCAACATTCAAAGTGTCACACCAACACACAGCAGATAAATACTCACCTCTGCCGCCAGTTGATCTTGATCCTATTTGCCATTGAAAATAATTTTGGCCCCAATATATATGAAGAAACAGCAACTGTTCAATTAAAAACATCCATCCATTATCTTTACCCGCTTCTTCCTTTTTGGGTTGCGGGGGGTCACTAGTGTCCATAACCAGCTATCACTGTGCGAGAGGCAGGGGACACTCTGGACATGTCTCCAGTCCATCACAGGGACACATGGAGACAAACAAACCATTCACTCTCTCACTCACACCTAGAGACAGAGTTACCAATCACTCTAACATGTATGTTTTTGGTCTGTGGGAGGAAACTGGAGTACCCAGAGAAAACTCACATGCATGGAGAGAACATGCAAACTCCACCCAGAAAGGCCCCAGGCCAGGATTTGAACCAGCAACCTTCTCGATGAGAGGCAACAGCTTTACCAACTGAGCCACCGATTAATAACGTTTGATTTATTTTAACAGGACTGTAATGTAATGAATAATCTACACTAAGATTATTTTATCAAATAATATTATCAGTATAATCTTAACTGAGTGGTGAAAACATAAACACACTTTTGGTGTTTGATGGGGCAGAAATGTTGACTGCAGCATCATCTCGTAAGAATTACATTTAGTGTTACATTTGAAGAGCATTCAGACACAGAAATGTGTATATATGTATATATGTATGTATATGTATATGTATATGTATATGTATATGTATATATATATATATATATATATATATATATATATATATATATATATATATATATATATATATATATATATATATATATATATATATATATGTATATATATATATATATATATATGTATGTATGTATGTATATTT